TGGAAAAGTTATTCCACCCAATGAAACGCATTTGTTGTATTAATGTCGTGAGGTTTTGTGGTATTTGCAGCTATTGGTTTATTTTATAGTTTTTTATAGTTTGATTTATAATATCATCTCTGTGATGTGTTTTTGGAAAAAAAAGTTGCTGTTTGCCAAAAAATGTGTTTTTTCATTCTTCTTTTTGTTCATAATATTTGGAAAATATGAAACCCTATTTATTATTAGATTTTAGTAATTTTATTTTTTTTCAATTAAAATAGATTGTTTTAACAATTAATATAGTTACTTTTTTTAACAAAATAAAACTAAAAATACAGTTTAATAAATTATAATTCTATTTTAATTATTAATATAATAATAATTATTTATTTATTTCAATCTTTTTTTTACTATTATTTTATTATTTATTTTACTTTATAACAACTATTTGAATAACTAGTGGTTTTTGACAAACTAACTAAAATAGATATTATTTATAAAAATAGGATAACTTATCAAATTGATTCATTACCAATATGAAACTAAATTTTTATTATTCAACGAAGCAAATAAGGAAAAATAATACTGAACTAAAAAAAATAGAGAGATGTCCCGCAACACAAGCAGTTTTTCAAGCAGCAGCGAATGCCCTATCCCTTATCATCAGCGCTCTGTCAGTCCGAATCGCCGCAACTCCCTCTCCCCGACAAGAAAACAGCGAAAACAATACACGATTACAAAGAAGCGCGAGGTTTGGACCCCGGAGGAGCACGCGCTTTTTGTTGAGGGATTAAACTTATACCACCGCGACTGGAAGCGGATAGAACAACACATCAAAACAAAAACAGTGGTCCAAATTCGGTCGCACGCGCAAAAGTATTTTCTGAAGCTTCAGAAAACACAAAATGGCCTCCCACAACGGTCGTTGTCTCCATGCGACAATGCTCTGCCGTCGGATGTAACGACCACTACGAAGAAGCGGCGCAATTCGATTAGCGCATTCACCCCTGCTTCTTCGCTACAGTATTCTATCATCACTTTCTCAAATTCAGAAACAAATTCCCCACGAATGTCTATGTCACCGTTCTCGGAGCAAATGAGTAACGAGGAGCACCACCAGACGTTCCACCCAATATACATGAAATAGTCGCACATATATATTAGGCACGGGCAAAGTTCTTTTAGTACCCAGTTGTGCATTTTGTTGGTGTCTGGCGTTGTGGTAATTTCTTATTAATTTCACTGTATTAATCTTTGTTCGTTCCACACGCATCTCAAATTGTATTTTATCCAAAATAACCCACAAAAACAAATGGTTTACTTATAGTAATTTTTCTATTTAGAACTATTTTCAGCACCACGGCTTGTCAAAAACTTCGGGAGGGAGATTGCGAACACAACAGGAGATTGAAAGGGGCTCACAACCGCAGAACGAACCCCGTCCAACAGCCTGAATTTTGGCGGGAAGGCCAATGTGCTTGAGAGACGAAGCTCCCAAGAAGCAACCCTTCCCAATAGAAGTGACGGAGTCGGGTATTTCTATTGTTTGAATGGATGTACAACCATAGAAACAATTGTCTGGGAGTTGAATTAACGTGTTTGGAATTGTAATTGTACTCAAAGAGACACACCCATAAAAACAGTTTTTACCGAGGCTGAAAATAGATTGGGGGAGTGACAGTGTTGAGAGAGAAGAACAGTTGAAAAAAGATGCGTCACCGATAGATGTGACGTTTTGGGGAATGCGAATGGAGTTGAGGGAATGACATAAACAGAAGACATAATTGCCAAGTGCCAAGAGACTGTCGGGGAGATTTACAGATGACAAGGATGTGCACCCACAGAAACAATGATCGTCTAAATGAGTTATACCAAGTGGAATGACTATTTTGGACAACATGCTGCAATTCCAAAAATAGCCAATACCAAGATGCTTTATGTTCTTTGGTAACTCGAAATAACGAAGGGCAGAACAACAGTAAAACATGTTATCACCAAGAAACTCTACTTTTGATGGAAATTCGAGTGAGCTCATAGAAGAACACTGGCAAAAACTGCCTTCTTCAATGTGATTCGTATTTTGTGGAAGTTCAATGCTTTTCATCGAAATACACTGGTAAAAACAGTTTTTTCCTAATGCCATTGGCTCAGTTGTTTTATTGATAAACACTTGTGATAAATGAGAACAACGAGCAAAACAATTTTCAGAAATTTTTTGTAATTTTTGGGGGAGAGTGATTGATTGAAGGGAAACACAATTTCCAAAAGAGTTTTTCTCGATCACACTCACATTGTCAGGGACACTAAGTATTGAGAGCGATGTACAGTTCATAAAACAGCACTCTGGAATAACACCAAGTGTTTCTGGGAAGTTTATTTTTGAAAGGGAGGCACACCCCTCAAAACAACGGTAACCAACACTTTCCACAAATTCCGACAACACTACTTCTTTCAAATTTTTGCAATTCCAAAAACAGAAGTTTCCCAATGAAACAATTGTTTGAGACAACACAAGAGCAGTCAATGTGGTTTCGTTTTGAAAACACTGATCACCAATTCGATTTACAACAGATGGTACAACAACACCGAATATATCTCTGTCGTGTAAAGTATACACTACATTCTTGTACACATTTGTGTTTGACGAAAATGCCATACACTCTTCAAACGTGACTTGGTACCAATTTACTACTCGAAAGAACTTCTCTTTAAAAATTTGGTCGTTTGGGTTGTACATGTAATACGTCTCCAGTTTGGGAAAGTATTTTCTCGTCTTCTGTGATAATGGTATTGGGTTAAAATGGAACTTTTCGAGCAAGTTTATCAGTTTTTTGCATACAAACTGTAAGTTGATGAAGTCTTCAATTGTTAAAAGGTATTTAGATACAATCATGACGCTATAGCTGTCCAACACAACCATCCTCTGATTTTTTCAATCAAAAAAGTTTTTAAGTGTTGTAAATGAAATTTACAATCCAAAAATATAAATTATTTCGTCATTTTGATAAATTGTACTGTTTGAGCGTATTAATGTCGTATTTGTTTTAAATTAATAACCATTCTCATTAAATTGTTTTTATTATAACATATTCAGAACAAACAAAGTTACCAAAAAAACGCCAATGAAAGAAAATAAAAAGAATTTCCGCTCTTTCAAACTCCTCATAAAATTGTTTAGTAGAGTGGTATCAATTCACTTCTTTATTTTATTACCTGTTTTCAATAACAAATAAAAACTGTTTATTCAATAAGAACAAATTATTATTAAATTATTATAATTATCACTATAAGTTAAAATCTTCAATTGATTATAATGGGAAAAATTAATACACAATGTTTTTATATTTTTAAACGCATTTTTTTAACATCTTTTTTCTCAAAAACAAAATGAATGAAATCACTTTGCAAAAAAATAATAATTTAACTCTATAACTTTCTTACTTGAACATCAATAAGTAACCATGGCAAAGTTACAACTTGTTTTAGTCTTCAGTATGGATTCGAATTTGTCTCCAATCCAAAATACCCGACAAGATATATTTAAATATAACTTGTTTATTGCTAATTATTTTGATTCATACTCAAAATAAATAAAAAGAATTTTAATCAAGTATGTTCAAAAACGTTTCTATTTGACAACAAATACAAAAAATGCGTTAAAAGAATCAGGAATTAAAAAAAAGTTGAAAACTTAGTAAAAAATATGAAACAATGTTTTTAAAGTGTTTCGAATATTTTCCCGAAATATTTCAGTTTTAATAGACAAGTTATTTAAATTTATTCCTCCACTATCTCAACATTTGGATATCTTGTGAATATGATTTTTGATTATATTCGTTGTTATAATAATAAAATTACTTTTTCTAAATTAATGAATAATAAAATCAATATTTTAAATCAACAAAATTAAAAAAAGTTTATAAAAAATTAAAGCATAGATTTTTTTGTAAACATTATATAATGTATATTATATATAATATACATGTATATTCTTTCTTTATTTATTTGTAATTTTAAGTTGTTAAGTTGAATACCGTTTGCATATTTTACAATTTTAGTCAAGTGTGCCAAATAATCAGAGTTCGTTGAACCAAACACCAGTAAGTAAAGCCGAAAGGTTTACTTATTATATCGATTAAATAATTTTTCTAATCATTGTTTCATTTTTTAAAAGATTTTGTTATAAAATCATTTTTTGAAAACAAAACATTAAATCATTATATTTTTATTTCTCATTTTACTGTTATTTTTATCTCAAATTTGTTATGTTAAAATGTTATTTATTCTC